AAAGAAAGAAAGAAAGAAAGAAAGAAAGAAAGAAAGAAAGAAAGAAAAAGAAAGCTCAAAACCACAGTGGCTTCAATGAGAAGAGCTCTAACGACCCACTTCCTTCTTGCTCCCATTCGCTGGCTCTATCTCAGGTTCCCAAGAGCCTCTATACCAGGCTTCGGCCAGGACAGGGCTGCTCCTGGCAGCTCCAATTATAAGCTTGGACCTTGGAAAGCAAGTCCGGTTCAGATGAAAACCCCTTTGGCTGTCTGGAGCTGTAGGTTACACTTACCCTACAAAGACAGGGAAGTACTTGAAAAAAAGGGGGGGCTGCCTTTCTGGGGGCCTACTTCCAGAGGGTTCAGAAGGGTCAAATCAGCAGGGTCTCTGGTGCTGTTGAGACACTCGTGGCTGTAGATCAAACTGCCTGGAGTGCCATCTGGCCATCCCAATGCTTACTGGGAGCCCTATACTCCTAGAAAGGCAGCCCAGTGGTCCTTGTGGCCGGGGAAGAGGAATAGGTGGAGCTGGGTTTACATCAGCGGGATGGGGAAGGAGGTAGGAAATGAATGAGAATCGTTAAGATTCGATGCGGTGGGCAGGTAGAGAGAACAGGAGAGGAAGAGGTCCTAAACACAGATGCTGGACCGACAGGAACAAAAACACCCTGAATGTCCTGGATGGTGGGGCTAGTGGACATGGAGAAATGAGAGGCTGGGCAAGGCTGGAGGGTGGGGAAAAGATAGGAGAGAGGAAGCAGAATCCAGAGCAGCGAGGATGGGGGCCGGGTAACGAGGAGGGCTGAGGCTACGCTTTTCTGAGCTCACAGTATCTCCTCCCTTCACGTCTCCCGGGGCTGAGCCTCCGCGGCTGCCCGCCCCTAATCTTCAGGCGGAGGCTTCTGCAAAACCCAGCCGTGAGCTCTGCCTAAGGAAAAGGGTCCTCGCCACCGCACCTTTCCGCTTGGCCGGCCACATCCCCTAAACCGCTCCTCTGACCTAGGCTTGTGACCAGTAAGTCGGGGAGGTGGATGGACCCTGTGATGTTGGAAGGGAGGGAAGAGGGGGCGGGGAAAGAGGACCTGAGCAGGATGGAGACGCCACCCAGACCGCGCGGGGCCACAGCCAGCCCGAACCCATCCTAATTAGTTACCTGCCCGTGCTGCTGGCCTGGGCAAACCCAGGAAGGGTGGAGCTAGGGCGGGGAAGAAAAAGAATTTCCTAGCTGGGGTCTAGGCCTGCCGGGCGATTCACCCAGCACTGGTTGATGGAACTGCAAGGAATCGCGGATCTGGATTCTGAATCCACTGCCCAGTGCGTGCGGCCGCAGCCTCTGGCGGAAAGTCTCTAGCGAGGCATCAGGAGATCCCGATGCCAGAGCAAGTAGTCACAAGGCCATCTGTTCTAACCATAATCTGGATGTATTGAGGGCTCTTGATTCCAAACTAGCATGCTCCACGCAATAATCCATCCCCAATCCTTCCAGAGACCCGTGTGCAGATAGGGGGATGGGCAGGGGGAGTTGGGGGGATATTTGTGCTCTCCCCCAAGGCCTGAGCCCCACCGCGGAAGCTCAGCAAACCCATAAACCCGTTCTGGAACCCATCTCCACCCTACCACACAGTAAAACAGCCACCCTGTTGTTGAACCCTTTCCCACCACCCCATATCTCCAGCCGGTTATATAGCAGGAACCCGAAATCAAAGTCTTGGTGCTGGAGGTTAAAGAACCCTTTCCCCAGCCCTGAGCCTACAAGTTCCTCCCAAGATGCTAGGAGCTCTCTATCAGATTACCACAAAACCAGGGGCTCATTCTGCCTTCAGGCAGGACCTGTTCCCAGGTCCGGGTGGGCCTATTACCCGGCTCTGAAATCCCCTTATCCGGGCCCTAAGCCAAGCTCCACCCTGCACAGGAGCTGAAGCCCCTTCCACCCTCTTCTCGCAGATTCTGCCCAGTAGGATGAACTGGACTGCTGCCACGTGCTGGGCTCTGCTCTTGGCCGCCGCCTTCCTCTGTGACAGCTGTTCTGCCAAGGGCGGCCGGGGAGGCGCTCGAGGCAGCGCCCGGGGGGGACGCGGAGGCGCGCGCGGGACCTCAAGAGTGCGCGTGAGGCCGGCGCCCCGCTACGGCTCCTCTGTGCGCGTGGCGGCTGCAGGGGCTGCAGCAGGGGCTGCAGCGGGTGTGGCTGCCGGCCTTGCCACCGGCTCTGGCTGGAGGAGGACCTCTGGGCCTAGAGAGCTAGGCCTGGAAGACGATGAGAACGGGGCAACGGGAGGCAATGGGACTGACCGAGGAGTCTACAGCTACTGGGCCTGGACTTCCGGCTCCGGGTCCACTCACAGTCCACATGTTTGCCTGCTTTTGGGCGGCACCCTTGGAGCCCTAGAACTGCTTCGGCCCTAGACCAGGCTAAGCTCCATGCCAGGTCTAGCTCCAGGTCTTCAGACCCCTGGGGCCCACCCCAATGGTCTCCAGTGTAGAGGGTAACTTTCTTTTGCTATGATTCCCTGGCCTAGAGGTGTTCTGGACCCAAAAGGCCTCTTGCAATCTGTGGATACTGTCTACCCTCTTGTCCATCCCAGTCTCCCAGTCCTCTACTCTGGCAGGAACTAACAGCTCTACTGCCAGAGAGGCAGGCTGCCCTTGACTCTCCAGAGCTGCCCAAGAGGAAGTACTTGGCTCTTCCTGTCTGCTTGCCCACCCTGACACAAGAACATGAACAATGCTGACACCAGGAAGACCCCCATCCTCAGGTGGGCCTGATTCTGACACTAAAGCCCAAAAGACCTGGGGCCTCCCATGGAAGCAGAGGGAATGCACCGATTCCCTCTGAACTTCACAATTGGCTGAAGAGAGCATTCACTTGGAATGCAATGTGAAAAATGTCAGGTGCTAACCACCTTCCCTGAGCAGGTTCTAACGATGCCACAGCTCAGGAACATCCAGAGCAGGAAAGTATCCGTCCCAGGACACCCACCGTGGCCCTCCTAGAACATGCTACCAAGGACAAGGTATTATGTTTCTTCCTGGCAGACTGCCCAAGAGACCTTCTGTCAGAAGGGTTCTTCTCCACTTGGAGCCCCTTGGCCATAAGGACCACTTAACTGTTCCTAAAATGCACTGCCACTAGGGGTTCCACATTCACAAACATTCCATTCCCTTTAAACTTTAGGTTCACAAGTGAGGGTCACTTGGGTACAATACCAATCCCGACAGGAGCCTTCTTTGTATATAACCTGAACTGCAAGATTGCCACAGTTCCGATGGATAGCAGCATTCCATGTTGGGAGATCCTTCCCTTGGAAGCAGATGGACCAGGGAGGAGAGATAGAGTATGGCACAATTGACAGCCGGCAGCCTGCACACTGGAGGAGGCAATAGTTCTTCAGGCCCACTACTGCCAGAAGAAAGCTGAGACACAGAAGAACCAGCCTCAGCAGGTTCTGAGTGTGGGCTGACACTACTAAAAGCTTCCTGACCAATCCATATCCATAAGGAGAACAGAGCTCATGCCCCAAGTGGCCTCAAAGAGATGCACTGCAGTCCTCACATAGATCTAGCTTTGGGCAGACTGGCTCCTTGCTGTTCAGGACCCACCAACACATTCTTGCCCCAGTGGAGTGATGTGTCTCTGGGCTCAGGCAATATGTACAATAAGTACACTAGCCTCGCGTACTTCTGGTTACTATACAGGTTTCAAGGCTATTGGCAGGGCCCTAGCCAAGCATTTTCTTAACAAGTTGCAGGACGCAGCTCCCTGCAGCTTCTAGCTACACTGCCGGTGCTCTCAGGCACAGCCAGCCCAGATGCCCCTCTCTCTGTCCCTAAAACCAAGACCAGCAGGCTAAGGGCCAAGCCCACTCGGGGCCTCAAAGGCAGGTGCTGATGCATCAAGTCTGGTAGAGGGAGACCCACCAGAGCCCCTTGAGCTTACAAACTCCCCCGAGGATGGGCTCTGTGGACCAGACCTTCACGTACCACAGAGCACCATGTATTAGTTGCAGGCATAATGAAAACATCACCTTTTAATGATTATTTCACACACCAGAATGTGTAGCATTTGGCCCAGCCACACACCTCTGAATGCCTTCTCCACTAAAAGGAACCATAGATGCTAAAGAAGAATCTCAGAGGTTTATCACTATTGCAGCCACAGCAAGAGGCAAGGATGGAAGGCTAGCCCTTGTTATCCACAAGAAGCATTCAAGCAGGGTTCAGGCAACTATGGAAAGGCCAGGTCCACACTGGACAGAAGAGACCAGAACTACTGAGCAGGAGAAGCCCAGCTGGCCCAACAGCACCTCCTGTCTGTATCAACCAACCCCTTCCCTATTTATTTTTAGAAAGCAAGCTGCTGGCAGCAACATCTTCTAGGTGCCACAGGTACGTGGAGGTCAAGTATGCTGGGACACACCCTCTGCACCACCTCCTGAAGCCACCATGGTTACAATGGCCAGGTGGTGGTCCCCTCCCAGTGATCCTCTGGCCTGTGAAAAGTTGAGCCTACAGCAGATGGTCTCGTGAGGTACAGGCTCTGAAGTGCCAGCGGAGAGGACATTCCTGGACTTCACTATTCCAAACCCCCTGTCCATGTCTGTGTGCGCTTGTATCAGTGAAGAATTCATTGTGAATAAAGCCCTCTGCTGATAACAAGCTTCTCCCTCATTGCAGGACTGAGAGACACATGAGACTCTGACTAAGGAACCCCAGTCCCTAATCTACCAATCCCCAGCATTCATTGGTGGAAGGGGATTTACCTTATGGGCTCAGAGTACTAAGCGCACAATGAAATAAACATCAAAAAATGGGCCTTTTAACCTAGTGTCATGGCACACACCTGTATAATCCCAGCTCAAGGGGCCGGGCAGGAGGAGTGAGTGTTTGAGACCAGTCCAAGCCACATAATGAAACTTTGTCTCAGAATGACAAAAAATAAATAAAGTAAAAAAAAAATGAAGAGACAGCCACAGAGAGATTTTTAAAAGTTGGCTTTTTAACCCAATTTTTTTGAAGTTACAGGTTACAGCTTTGACTCCTTTGATAGCATTAAGCTCTCCTTGAGACTGAGAAAACCTCTTGACCAAGTCACATATACACAGGATTTCTTGGGACCCCATGGTAGCAACCAGGACTGACCAGGATCTACTGGACAAGAGAACATAGTGCCCTTTGGAGGTGAGTCCTAAGTCTCAGGTAGCAGCAGAGAGAGCTTCCAGATAAGGAGAATAGTTCCAAGCATTAAACACTCCAGCTGCAGTCCCATGGAATATGCAGACCATATTTCAGCCAGCCAGGTCAGGGGTCAGTGTCATCAGTAAGCAGGCATAATGTCACGGTCCAGCATCACTTGGCCCAAGAGCCCACTACGGAAGGTCCGGAGGAAGTCGCGGGCTGCCGTGGCATAATCCGGCTGGATAACATTGACATTACCTGAGGACAGAGGATCTGATGAGAGAAGGGTCTCTAAAGACAGCCCAGCCCTAGGAGACCACTAGGGGGTACCATCTGTGAACTCTGGGGAAGAGGGAGTGCTAAGAAAGAACACAGGCATCCTATCTACTCAGCACTGTCCACAGCTAATACAGCCCTCTGAAACCTGTGCTACAAAGTCCTTCCTCCCTAGAAATTTCCATAGTTCCCCTTCCTCTGCTCTAATCCCAGGACTGATGCCCACAGGTTTCCTTCTGTGGCTCACTCCTGTCCTCCAGAAAGGGCCAAGAGTCCCAATAGAAGACAAACAATGCAGCCTCACTTACCCGTGCCCGTGAGCACCTTCACCTTCCGTGTCTTCCCCAGCTTCACAGCCACGTTCTTCAACACCCACTCTATGTGGTCACAGGCATCGGCCAGGCCATAGTGCTGCACATACCTGCAAGCCCACTGCTCAGGTCATATCTGAGGCTCCAAGCCTGAGGAAGATTCCCACTCACCCACACCTCCAATGAGCCAGCTCTGGGGCTCCTGGGAGGACCAGATTGCTTCCAGGCAACTTAAGCTGCAGAACAAGGCTCAGAAACTCTTACACAAAAGACTTTTCACCTGTAAGTGATAAGTCAAATATCTGGCACCAAGTCAAAAGTGACCAGTCCTCCACCGAGACAGAACAGGACAAAAGAGTCCACAGACAGACATACAATATGGATTCCCAGCAGAGGCAGAAGACAATTAGTGGGAAAAAAAATCTTCAAATTTTTTTTTCCAGACAAGCAGTCATCCATGTGCAAAATAAGAACTTCATAGTTGTGCCATATACAAAGCATGTATTAATACATAGCAAAAAAGGGTCATATACCTAAATATGAAACCTAAGCTGCACTCTCCAAAATGAAAACAAAATTCTATGGCCTCAGGCTAGGTGTATTTCTAGATATGAAGTATCACCATTATGAAGTATCTTGTTACCAAATCCGACCTCCAAAATGAAAAACATCTACTCCCCAAAACAAAGGAAGAAAGGGCAAGGCCTAGACTCCTGAAAACCTTTGAATAGACCTTATCCCTCAGAATAGGTAAAGTGGTACAACTTAACAATAAGAAAATGGGTTGGGTGGTAGATCAGCAGTAGAGCATATGCTCATTGTATTCAAGCCCAGGTTCAATCCCAAGAATCAAAAAAACAATAATAATAAATAAAAAAGAGTGATTATGGTGGTACATGCCTTTAATCTCAGCAGAGGCAGAGAGATCTTTGTGGTCTTGAGGGCAGCCTATGTAGAGAGACCCTCAAAAAGACAAAAACAAAAAGGGATGGTGGTCTGGAGTCATGGCTGAATGGGTAAGAGAACTTATTGCTCTTCCAGAGGACCTGGGTTCAATTTCCATGCCTACAGGATGGCTCACTTCCGTCAGTAACACCAGTTTCAGGGGATTTTGGCCTGGATTTGGGCACCGTGCATGCAGTGGTACACAGACATATATGTGGGCAAAACAGCCATACACACAATATAAAATTTTTAAACGATAAAAAGATTTGAACATACATGTTCCCAGAGAAGACATAGCCAATGGACACTGGGAAAGATGCTAAGCATCACACTAGTAGGAATATACACTAGACACTGCAACCTGAGAGGCTAAAATTAAGACTGGCCAGAGCTGAGACAAGGCTCAGTGGCTAAGAAGAGCATTGTTGCCCTTGCAGAGGACCCAGATTAGATCCCAGTGCCCACATGACTGCTCACAGCGTCCATAATGCCAGATGTAGGAAAGCTGAAGCCCTCCTCCACAGGCACTGCATGCTTGTGGTGCACAGACATGCATGCAGGCAAAACTCCCAAACATTAAATAAAATAACTAAATCTGAAAATAATAAAAGACTAACCACACTGTAAAGAGGATTGGTAAAAGCCTGGACCCCCATTCTCTGCTAGGCTGTATGTGGCACAGTACAACTGCTCTGGAAAACAGCTCAGCGGTTCTGTGGAAAGCTAAAGCTCGCCATTACCGAGTGGCTCAGATACTCTCCTGTGCTTTAACCAAGAGAAGTAGAAACTCACATCACATAGAGACTATACATGAATGTTCCCAGAAGCTTTGCTTGTGGCAGTCAAGAACTGCACACTCCCATGTCCACGAGGGTGAACAAACAAAGCAAGTGCTGGATGCATGGGTAATACACAATGAGCCCAGCCCCCAACAGGAATGTAGAGCATGCATGGCTCAGAATACTCATGCTGCCCGGTAGGGGAAGCCAGGTAAGAGAGGGGATACCCTGTTCAATTTCACTGACAGAACACTCATCTTCTTCCCCTACCTTCAGGGGGTTAAGGAAGAGACAAAGTGAACAAGGGTCTTACTATGCAGCCCAGCAGGTCCCAAACTTATGATCCTCCTATCTCAGCCTCACAGGTACTGGGATTTGGGATATGTAACACCAAAACTAGCAGAATGTCCACTATCATGTGTGACGATATGATATGGTCATGTATCAAAACCTATCAAATCACACACTTATAATAATATACAGCTTATATAGTACCATAATGACATATTTCTAAAACCATACCTACATAGGATGAGCAAGCAGGGGGCTGCGTCCCCCACACCCACTGCCACTCACCCAAGTAGCCCATGCCTGTTGAGGGTGTAGAGGAGGTAATCAGCCATGGTCTCTTCCCCAACAAGGTGGTCCAACACAGTTCCTGCAAGATAAGCAGCTAATGCAAGCCCATGGAACAGTGGACATCTATGCCCCACCAAGCCTGAATGCCTCCCGGTTGAAGGCAGAAGACCTCAAGCTACTAAGGAACTGCCCTGCAGGATGGATCATAGTTGTTGGCCTTCTTCCAATATGGCGTGTGACTTGGTTGCCAGGCACGGCCCTTCTGTGCACCCCTGTTCCAGGGCAGAATGGTAGCCAGCACATGCATGCCGTGAGCTAGTCTCCCTCTCAAAACTGTGAAAGGCAGCTGGCAGCAGGCAGGACAGAGGGAGTAACAACTGCACCTGCCTAGTGGACAGCCAAGGTCAGCAGTGGGACAGAGGCTTACCACACAGGGCCAGCTTCAGGCCTGTCTCGACGCTCTCAATCCGAGGAGCCAGCACCCCTGGAGTATCCAGCAAGAACATCAGTGGACGCTCACATACCTGTGCAACAGAAGGTGGATCAAACCAGTAGCCTCTGGCCAACAGCCAAATCATTGCCAGAGACTCTAAGGCAGGCCTCTGGATAAACCAACCACATAGGCTGTCTCTTGCCCCCTAGGTTGAGTGCCTATAGGGTATAACTTCTGCTTAATTTGAAGAACAAATAAAAGCCCAAGGTCCATGGAAAATAAGCATAGCGTAGCACTGGCAGTAACATGAGAGAAAGAAAAAGGAGGAGGTCAGAGGCAGAGCCAATGCGCCACTCAGAGGTGCCAGGCTCAGCAAAACCTGCAAAGCTCTGGGCAAGGCTCTGGGCTCAGCTACCAAGGACTTACCTGGATTCTGGATGTGACAGCTCTAGTGATTCCTGGCTCACCACCCACTCTGGCAGCTTTTCCTGAAAAGAAACAAAGAGGCCATCAAATATGTATACACAGCAACAGAACAAGTAATAAAAGGTATTTCACTAACATATATGGCAAGCAATGGGAAACCCAGAGGTCAATAAGTTTGTCAAATTATAATTCATTCCTTACTCAGTCCCAAAAAGACAAGGGTTTTCAAAAGCTAGGCCCAGTGTCCAGGGCTAACAAATGCCCAGAGCTCAAGCCCCAGAGGAGGGGCCGCCCTGGTATGACCATCGCAGCAGGGCTGCTCCTCCACCTCAAAGCCTCTCTCAGACCGGCCTACTCCATAGCACTACCCACAGCAGGCAAGCAAGCACCATGCTTAAAGCCAACACTGGTTGCCTGGCATGGGACCCAGCACAGGGCACCCCTGCGAAGCTATCTATTCCCTGCTGAACCACCACAGGAGTAAAAGGATAAAAGTGTCCATCACAGATGAGCAGAGGAATGAGAATAGGCAATGGAACAACTGGCCCTAAGGAGGAAGGAAATACTGACCAAGTTCCGACATGAACAAACTTAGAACATTACACGAAGTGAGACAGGCCAGTCTAGAACTCTTCATTGACACAGCTGGACAGAAACAAAACAGGGCCGCCAGGCACTGGGGCAAAGAACGGGATGATTCGCCTGAGGCTTCAGTACCAGGTAACTTAAAGTTTGCATAGTGAGAATGCTTACATAACCCCATAAACAAACTTAGTAGCCCTAAACAAAGATGAAACTTAAAGAAAAAAACAATTTTAAAAACTTAAAAAATTAGATGATTGTGACAGCTTTCCAATTAATGCCACATTTAAAATCATGATACAATATGATTTAAAACTCTCAGCTTCTACACTATAAATAGGTTCTGTTCTTTAGTTTTGTAATTGTGTTTTGTCTTTTGGAGACTGGGCCTCTACCTCTCTACCTCCCCTTTAGCCTCTCTGTCTCTGCCTCCCAAGTGCTAGGATTAAAGGATATGCCATCACATCTGGCTTTGTAAAATAATAATAATAATAATAATAATAATAATAATAATAATAATAAACACTATACTGTTAATGTGAAAAATGAAGCCAATATAAATCTATCCCAAAAGTCTAAAACACATAAAAAGACAAGAGCATATAAAAGCATGGTAAGTACACAGTGTGTAGCCAATGGCTGCTCACCAGAGACCTCCATTAGACAATTGACTGTCCTTTAACAAACAGAACAGTCCATGAGCTATGGAAGGAACACTTCAGAGCAACATGGGGCTGGCCATGTTCTTCCCCAGTGCCCTCTTGGAGTGGAAGTCAGCACACCAGCAATTGCCTACCTGTCCTAAGGTGCTGCCGCCTCAGGGAGTTGATGAGGGAGGATTTGCCTACATTGGGGACACCAACCACCATGATGCAGTATTCCAGGTTCTGTGAAGGTGGAAGAGTTTCAACTTTATCCCCCCCGCCCCCACAGGCTGTGAAACTACAGCACAGGGAGAGGGTGCATCAACACAAAGGCCCTGGGCTGACCCACAGGATTGGCCCAGATTTTCCCAGTGAAGAACTAGTAAAAGCAAAGGCTGCGGTCCCGGCTGGGGCACAAGCCCAGTCCTCTGTATTAAAGAAGGCCCAGAATGGACAGGCAGGAGAGGCCAGGTAACTCCACATACCCACACCCAGCCCTGCAACCAACCAACCTCTGCTCGGTGGTAGCGGTAACTGCACTTGATCAGTTCCGTGACCATGGGGACGATCTGCAATAAACAGGCCACATCTTCTGGTCATACACCCCTCACTGACCCACTTCCAAATAACAGGGTCTTTACACTCACCACTAAATTAGGAGGGCAGAGACCTCACACACACCTCACTAGGCATCCAAGCGCTAAACAGTCACAGCTAACTGGGACTCACCCACCCACTCCCAACACTCCACACATACACCATGACAGAGTAGTGTGGCTACTTCGAGAGGGTTCTTCTACAGCAACTGTAACTGCCTACCAGACAGTCCACACATCAGCTTGTGGGCTTCTATCAAAACAATGGGGAAAATAAGTCACTGGGTTCTGCAAGAGGCTCTTATTGCTTAGAACGCCAGGATGCTCCCTCAGAACTCACTCAGGCTGTGAGCATCCACACAGGAGACAGGCAGCCCAGGAGATCCTGCAGTCCTGGGCAGCTAAAGACGATTCCAGGATCTTATCCCAACTGTTTAGCAACCAACATGTACAAAGGCTTACCTGCTTGATGTTTTCATCCTTTACACAGTTTGTAAAAACAACATTTTTCAGGCCTTTTCCTTCTAAGTGCTGGACAATTTTCTGAAAGACACATTTCATTTTAAACACTAAATTAAAAAATGAATGGTATGCCCGTCATGGTGGTACATGCCTTTAATCCTAGCACTACACAGAATGACCCTATCTAAAATAAATTTTTAAAATATATACATGTGTGCATGCGTATGTGTTAGTATATATCAAGATAGGAGAGATGGCTCAGCAGTTAAGAGGACTGGCTACTCTCTTACAGACGACCAGGTTTGATTCCCAGAACCCTCTTGGCGGCTAACAATAGTCTATAACTACAGCCCCAAGGGATTCAATGCCTTCTTCTGGCTTCCACAGGCACTGCCTAAGTGTGGTGCACAGACATACATGCAGGCAAAATACACATTTACAAAAAATAAAAATAAAGGCTAACAAGAACAAGTAAACATATATTACATAAATGGTGTGAGACTGTAAAAGTCAAGAATCTGAGCTTGGGACCAGTGAGATGCTTAGCTGGTTAAGGTCCTTGATGCCAAGCCTAACAACCTGAGTTCAATCCCAGGACACCATACAGTAGAAGGAAAGAACTGACACCTCCGAGTTGCCCTCTGACCTCCAAATGCATGCCAAGGCACATGCATACCCACACACACAAAGTAAAAAAAATAACAAATGTAAAAAGCACTTTTTTTAAAAAAGGAATCTAGTTTGCCTGCTTGCGCCTGCCTCTAATCCCAGCACTCAGCAGGCAGACACATGGGGATCCCTGTGAGTTTGAACTTGTCCCAACACAACAAGTTCTAGACCAGAAAGGACAATGCAGGTACGTTCTGTTCACAGTCAACTTAAACTCTGGGTGCTGGGCAACAAGAAGTGAATGCCAGAAACACAATGAAGAGCCTCGGCTCTGAGGACAGGGGGCTCTTCTTGAGAGCTCTGCCAGGGTGAAGACCAGGGGACATGGCCTGACCATAGGGACTTCAGTGCTTCTGGAGATAAAATGGGGCTGAGCCAGGTCACTCTAAAGCCTCTTCAGCACGAAGCTCACAGGTGCTGGCTTCTCTAGGAATCCCATCATCTTCATGTGCTCTATCATATAAGACTCCCTTGGGGAGAGGAGGCCAAACTGAGACAGGCTTTCACTACATAGCCTTGGCTGGCCTGTAATTCACTGTGTAGACCAAGTTGTTCCTGAACTCAGAGATCTGTCTTCCGTGTCTTGGCATAAAAGGTGTGTGTCACTGTATCCAGCGTGCAACTGCATTTAAACTGAAATGGTGCTGAACCCAATCTGATGAGAGAATAAGTAGTGCTGTAAGCCCAAAAGTAAACTAAAGCTGACAAAAAGTTGTTAAAGACTTAATATTCAGCATAATCAGTGTACTTATTTTATTTATGTTTGTATCTAACAACATGTATTCAAAATTAGTATTATGTCTGGTTGTTACGGGCCACAAAATATAGTCAATGCTTAAATAAACAAAAATTAATTCATTAATGCAGTCAGTTTTAGTTACTTTTGGTTATTCGTTACCTGTGCTATAATTAAGACACACTTGCCTCAGGGGCTGGAAAGATGGTTGAAATGCTACAGGTACTTGCTGCTCTTCCCAAATTTAGTTCCCAGCACCCATACAACAACTCACAATTACAATTCCAAGGGATCCAACACCCTCTTCTGGGCCCTGTGAGCACCAGGCACACATGTATTACACATACATACATACATACTACACACACATACATACATACATACATACATACATACATACATACATACATACATACATACATACATACATACAGGCAAAACACTCACATACATAAAATGTTTGAGGGGTTAAAAAAGGTAAAAGGTACTAGCCATGACAGAGACTAATGATCTCCCTGGTCTCCATGAAGATTTACTCAGACATCCCTCTATATAGACCATGGGGGCGGAGCCTAAGGTCCTTCAGAAGCCTGTTACTCCTCTCAGGTCCTAAGCCTGCCCACTAGAGGGCAGTGTCCACCCATTTGTAAAGACCAGCATTTGAAGAGCTTAAGCAATCCCTAATGGCTCAAGTCTCAACTAATAAAAACAGAAGACACTTGAAGATAAACAACCAAACAGACAAAACCCAAAAGCCTGCACAACAAGTGGAGCTTCTGACCAGTTCCCTAGGCCTCAAAGCAGGTGCTGCCACTAGGAACTGCCCTGGATATCCTTCTAACCTCTCATAAGAGCTCTGGTTGCTTTTCAGTAAAGGAAAAATCTCATTAACAACTTTTTAAAAACTGGCTTCAATTTAAGACCCTAACATCCCTCTTGCCAAAGAATTTGACAACCTGGCCATAAGAAGGAGAGTGAAGACATCAAAAAGCATTTCCTGCCAGTCATGTAGAAAGTACACTTCCCTGGGACCTGATTCTGCCTGGATTTATTTCTCAACCTGTGAGTCATACCCCTTTGGGGAGTTGAATGACTGTTTCACAGGTGTTGCCTAAGATCATTGAAAGACACAGATTTTTACGTTACGATTCATAACAGTAGCCAAACTGCAGTTATGAAGTTGCAACGAAACTAATTTTATCGTGGGAGTCACCACAACATGAGCAACTCTACTGAAGGGTCACAGCATTGGGAAGTTTGAGACCACAGCTCTGAGACTGTTAGGTACTTTGGGCCTTTCATATTCCAGTCCCACACCCAACCCTTCCAGTTTCTGGATCATAGGCTGTTCAGAAAGTGAACTCCAAGCTACAGCAAATGTGACCAGGGCTACAAACATTAACCTTGCTTCAGTGGTCACATGTGCCCAAACTACCACATGGGATATAGTGAACAGAGCACCCATCAGAAATCAGAAAGGCCCAGGGTGCAAAGTGGCTATGATGGTCACCAGGGACCCACTTGGTATGCCCCATCTTGGCATTTGGGCCCTAAGTTCATATTGGGGGAAACAGCTATTGCTGCTAAGCCAGGATTTGTTTTAAAGTATAACCGGCCCAGGGGCATAACAGACCTCCCCTGTGTCAGTGGCTCTGTTACACTGCTGCTCACATCTGTGACCAGATGCTCACCTGCTGCTCTGTAAGATCCGCCAAGTCCATTTTGTTAAGGACAAGCAGATGAGGCTTCAGACCAAGTAACTCTTGGAACAGAGGGTTTCGACCTGAAAGTGGGATGTGCTGATGACGTTAAGGCAAAAATCCCTACAGAGCTTTACCAGTTATTTGGCCAGGAGCTAAAGCCAAAGAAGCCCATCCCAGCCCATCCATCTTCCTACCCCAGACTTGGGAGGCCCACTCTGCAGCTGGCGAAGAGTGGGACTCAGGCAGGGCCCTGGCACCTAACTTGCCAAACAGATGGTGGGGAGAATAAAACCAAAGTTCAAAGAAAAGCCACCGTTTGGATGCCAAGGGATGTAAGTTTAAAACTTAAGAAAAAGTGACTCCTGTGAAATCGTAACCAAAGCCCTTCAAGCAACACCCATCCTCACTGGAGATTCAACTTCCTTACAGCTATCCTCAGCTACCCTAACCTGATGTGTGACACCAGCCAAGGCGGATGGGGCTTCTTATCTCTACATTCTGCCTTCAGCCCTCCCAGGAGAATCTAATACAAGAGCCCTCAGGCCTCTGCCCGCCCCGTCTGGGCACCTGCCTAAGCTGCAATCTCCACCCAGATGGTCCCTCTCTTACAGCTGACCAATCCATTCATAAACCCAGGTCTCCAGGATCCTCTCCTAAAACGGTACAGAAACCACAGGCCTGCTTCCACATCCTGGATGCAGCTGAGTGTTCCACAGACTAAAAGAGAATAGTCCTCTCACTACGTATGCTGAAAAACAACCATGTTTTACTTTTTAATAATCAAACACAGGCAGGAATGGTGGCGCACGTCTTTAATTCCAGCAGGCAGACCTATGTGAGTTCTGGGCCATCCTGGTCTACATAGTGAGCTTCAAGGCCAGTCAAAGCTACACTGAAAGACCCAATCTCAGTAATAATAATAATAATGTCACAGCTGGCAGCTGAAATGGTTTCCTCATTCTCCATTACTATTTCCAGAGACTCCCACCACTGGCAGCAGGTCCCCACACCCACGACCAGCTGTTCCAAGCACTTGGGCCTATTGGTCTGGCATCCCCATTCCCTCCTAGGGCTAAGTAAGCATGATGAGGAAGAACTCACATGCCAACAGAACCCAAACACAGCTTAAATGTAACAAAATGGTCTGAGAAGCATGCGTCAATGGACATGATTATGACTTGCTAATTATTCACTTAAGGACAAGAGAAAAACCCAGGTTTTTCTGCCAAGACCATCTAATCTCAGGTTTCATAATTCACCCCTAAAAATATCAAAGTAAATCAGACAGAGGCTGAGACAAATAATGTATCATATGGGAGCTTAAAAATTAAAAAACAAAACAACAACAACGCATAGGCACCACCCCAGAGATTCTGATCTAAAAGGGGGCCCTCTCTATTGGTGTAAACGCCTCCCAGTAACTTGATGTGTATTGGGAGTTGAAAAGCATTGCTTCTGTGGCAGTAATTACAAAAGAAGCAGTCGACATGACTGGACCAGAAACAGAACAGACTGGACTGTCCGAAGGCGATGGAGAAAGACCAGGAGAGCATCTATACCCTAGCAGAGATGCTCTCCTTCGACACGAAAGGATATCCGGGCATCATGAACCTCGATAACACAATCCACCAGCTTCAGGCTGCTCTGCATCTTCTTTAGTCCTGAAAGATAGAAGGGCACTAAGGGAACAGCCCAGGGGGTCTGATTTAAGTTGTCCTAGGGGAATACATCTGAGAATCCAACATGGCACAAAGAGCAGCATGCTGATCCAAGTTCCGGGGTGCACTAGATGACTTTGGGCAGAACTCTTCACATGAGGGTCTTGATCTTGATACTCTAACTTAAGGACCTCAACATACAAACACTGAGGCTCCGCCCCGCAACTGCCACCCGCCGGCTCACACCCCTGGAGCCTTCCTGCCACACCACCACCTCACTTGGCAGGGGAAGCTAACACCACAGCAACCAGCAGCCCAGAGCCGCACCATGCTAGATGTCTGCCTGGGACCAAGTTGTGACCTATAAATTCGGGCATTACTCAGGTCTGAAGCCTTGCATGTGCCTTCAAGGGACTACTCAGCGCGACTCAACATATCAAGCACAGAACAGCTCTCCAACCCGAGGCCAGGAAAGCGAAAAATGGGGCCGCCAGGGCCCGTGCCTCCTGCTCCTCCCGATGGCCTCACCCTTGGCCATGTGGCCGGGGAACCAGCGTGCTACGTCGTGACCTTGCAAAGGGAAGCTCTCGCGCCAAGCGGCACGAGCAGCACACCATGCCTGCGGCCACAGTCTCATGGCGCTGCTGTCGGAAGCACAGGGACGCCTCCGCCAGGGCTTGGATCTGCTCTGCTCACGGGGTTCCGAGGCACCTCGGTTCCATGGGCGACTGCGCAGGCGCCTGACTTGCGCATGCGCTTGGCTCGGGGCCCTCAGACTAGGCGGAACCGGAATGCGTCCGGGGCTGAGGGACTGGGCCGTGGTACTCGCCTTTAATCTCAGAGCTCCAGAGGCAGAAGGATATCTGTGAGTTCAAGGCAAGCATGGTCTATAGAAAGTTCAGGACCACCAGCTCGACACAGAATAACCCCGTCTCAAAAAAAGGGAGACCTTATTGGGTTTTTTAATTTGTTTTTATGTCGGTTGTGGTGGTTCACCCTTTTATCCCAGCCCTGTGGAAGCAGAGACAGGCAAGTGGCTGTTTGTTTGAAATCAGCCAGGTTTACATACTAGATTCCAGGTCAGCCAGAGCTACATGGTACGACCAGAAAAACAACAAAAACATATAATTAAAGACATAATTGCATTTACTTATATTTTTTTATTTGAAGTGTCTGTATATACCACACGTATGCGGATATCCCCAGAGGCCAGAAGACAGTGGACCCTCTGGACCTGGCATTACAGGTGCTTTTGAGTCCCCTGACTGTGTGCTGGGAACCGAACTTCAGTACTCTGCAATAGCAGCGATCATTCTTAACCTCCAAGCCATCTCTCTGGGCCCAATCTGGAGACTTTTCACTACATTCCCAATGTTTCAGGTTTGAGGATATAGCATAGACAATGACAGCTTGCCTAGCATGCCCACAAGTCTGGGTTTTTGTAGAGAGGTCAGAGGCCATCTCCACTGCTGGCTCCTCCAGAGTGCTAACCTGACAAGCCTAGAAATGTTAATTTAACATCCAAGTACTTTTTTTTCTTTTGAGACAATATGTTACTTTGTAGCCTACTCTACAAAAACTAAAAAGGAAATTTTAAATTAGAAGCATATACCAGTAATCCTGAGATGGAAGGGGATCAGAAGTTCAAGGTCAGCCTAGGCTACATGAAACACTATCTAAAATATAAAGTCCTATTTCTCCCTCTTCTAAATCAATGTACTGAAATTTGGTTGTCCCCTATCACTTCTTGGGCCTTTTATTAGAATTTTCAAGTGTTTTACTTTATATGTGTATGTGTGTGTGTGCATGTATGGATGGATGGATGGATGAATATAACCATTTTCTTTTCAAGTGTGACATATTTTAATGTAACTGTTTAAGTATTGACTACAATCCCTTTAATAAAATGAAACTGAAATGTTCTTCATAGCTTTAAGAATAAATGTAAATGCAGCTGCTCCTGGTGGAACAGGCCTGTGATACCAGCTAAGGATGGTGGAAGACGGGGGCAGCCGGGCCTTGGAAGCCGCCCTAAGAGGCACCCTATCTCAAAATAAAAAAGGGCTGCCACGACTCAGTATACCAATGTTATAATGGTAGCCTCAAATGCAGGAAGCCTTGGGTTTGATCCCCAGTACACACACAGACACACACTGTAACTCCAGCACTTGTGAGGCAGACTAGGAAGTTCAAGGCCAGCCTGGGCTAGAGAGTGAGAAAACAGGGTGGGGGCGGAGCCCAGATTTTAAACTTAAAGTCCTAGGCATGTCAGGCCAATTCTCCACCATGGAGGAGCCCTATCCCCATCCCTAACAACTCAAATCCTCCTGGCCTCCCTCACTGCCAGGCCTGTTTCTCCCATCAAGTCACCTGGGTCTGAAAACTGAAATGCAGCCCCCCACTCCCAAGTGTCAACAGCAAAGACTTTTGCCCTTGAAACATCTGTATTCATTCATAGTCCTCAGGCTATAGAATACAATAAAAAACCTGCTGGAGTTTGGCTTTCTCCCATGGAAGTGCATGGACAGTTTGGTGACACAAAGCAGTACTCAGTCTTGATAACATAATATGCTTCATGACAGACTGGTGCGATGTGAGTAGGGCGAGCCTTTGAAGAACTGAAGAATGAGGAACCAAGCAAGAGAACCAGACTGGGCTGTGAATGAACAGTCGTGCCTAGAGCTGTTTTGGAAGTGTAAGCCTAACTGATATGGCCAGGAGGGGTTGCCCTGAGCCCTTCCAGAAGCCTGGAGCCAGTAACAGTACCATGTTGTGCAAGGGTGGGTCGAGGATCTCTGCACGTTCCTATAGCTCCCTCTGGAGCACACCAGGAGCACAGTACTTGCTGCACCAACCTCTCCGGCCTCAACCATTCTCAACCATAGGAAATGTGCACACTCTGCGACAGCTGTGACCGGAGGAAGTTAATAAGTGTTCTGGGTCCTCTGTATGAAGCAGCAACAGATCTCACAGAACTGCTTCGAGGATGCCTCGGGCCCAGTCTGCAAAATATGCAAGAGACCCATCCCACACTGCCTCGTTCCCCAACACACCTGGCTCCATGTTCTCTCATTCCCGAATACTCCCCTGTATTTGGCCAACCTGCTCCCGAGAAGTCTTTAAGCCTCTCTCTCTCTCTCTCTCTCTTCACCTTCTCCCCAAAACTCCAAGCCAGGTCAGGATAGGATGCCTCTCCTTGCCCCACCCAGTCTCCTCCGTTCTACATGATCATCCTGCCCACCAGTCTAGGGTACCTGACACAGATGCATTAGTGATCAAAGTGGAATTCACTAGCCATACTGTGGTACTGGGCAACAGCATTGGGAAACCTCTTCAAAAACAGAACGAAGGGCAACGATAGGCCACAAAGCCCAAAGAATGCAGAAGGGAAAGCCATGAACTAGGGATAGAAGGGGCAGACAGGAACCGGACTTGGATGGGGACAGGATCAGAACTGTATACGTTATAAGAAAGGACTCTAGACACAGGCAGTGTCAGTTGCTTTATGTGTATAACACAATGGGTCATCATGATCAAGACCAAGCCAGACTCCAACAACAGATGAGAAATGAGACCACGTCCCTAAAATTACAGCTACCATCAAGGTCTCAAAACCTTGAGCCAGACTGAAAATCATGTATTGAACAGACAGAGGACTTGGTCAGCCCACGTGGTAGAACAGAGCAGCAGGCATTCACAGCCTGGGCCGGGACCGCTGCACCTGTGAATCCCACAGACCAATGAGGCGATCAGCTTCCCGCCAGCCAGACAGGAGGGCCCCGTGTGTGGTGGAATAGAATGTCCGATGTGTGGCTTCCCCAGCAAAGAGTATCTGGAGCTGCAGAAAAAGGCCAAATTAGAACAGGGATGCAAGTGAGACAGCTATGAAGAAATACAGTGCCCCTGCCCATCCATCTGCATCTACAAATGGGCAGAAGACATGTAGACATGTGCAACAAGTTAAGGGACAGTGGGCAGACACCCTGTGTCCTTGAGATCCCTCTCCTACCCATCACTCACACATCAGCTTTAGGCCTTACTTAGCAGCAGGATCCCTGGTGTTCCACGAGGCAGGCCACCATACCTGGGTACCAGTTCCATCAGCAGGGAGGGGCTGAGCCATCACATCCAAGTCGTCGCCGGTGCTACCCACAGCCACATAGCTATAGGAACCTCGGGTATATGGGGCGCTGTGCCAGCGAGACCTCAGCACGCTCTTGGCCGCTGGCAATTGTGGGTTTCCTGAAACAGATATGTTAACTCGGGATTCTCACTGGCCTAGAAGAAAACCAGGTCAGTGAAGGTTTTTCTAAGAGGCCCCCTGTCTCAGCTGCTGTGCCAGCACTACACAGGAACAGCTGGTGAAAGTAAGCAGCACCAAGAGATGCCTCCTGTAAGAGGAAGGTCACACCCCCCTGAGCCCCATTCTCCCCACCTGAAAGCATCTGACTTAGGGACAACTGCATTTATTTTGGGTGGAAGATTTTAGGAAATAAAACCAGGAAGTGTTTGCAAAACATGACTAGCCCACTGCCCAGGAGAAAACACTGTCTCGGAGACTGGAAGGCAGAATTCATTCTTCTGTGTTCCAAGTTTACTTCCTCTTTGGGGGTTGGCCAATAAGAACATGTGACTGGGGAGTACCTGTCACTCTCCGGAGCACTTGGGTTAGAGACAGAAGCACTTCTTCATCTGACAGAGTCTCCATAAACTCCGACTCCAGCCCGGCAATAAACCCACACAGCACATGCGAAGACCTGCATAAACAAAAAGGGGATATGGGTCTGCTGGCCGCAAGCCACACTATGGCATGGCTACCACCACCCAGAAGAGGCCCCTACGCTCTCCCAGGGTTTCAGCTCCCTAAGTATCTGGGTATATCCACAACCCTCAGGCAGAATGTGCTGTTTCTGCTTCTTCGTCACTTGCAACAAATGTGCAAGAGCAGGGCAGGTAAACTGTCCCTCAGAGAATGGGGGAATGGACAAGCCATACCAGTTGGCTTCATGCTCTTCACCGCCACTGGGTTGGGAGAAGGGTGCTGATTTAACTGACGAGGTTCTTAGTGAAATAGTAAAAGTTGCTGAGTTTATTAAATTTTGGCCATCAGGTGCATTTTTTTTTCTATGTCTGTGTGAATAAATGGGAAGAGGGGTAAAGGGTTTTTGGTGTGCTGTCTGTGAGTCTGTGCTATCTGTGAATCTGGAGCCCACTGAGCCAGCGCTTCCTTCAGGCACTCCGTCCTTACCTACCCAACCATGATACCAATCAGCTATTTTCTCAGGGAAGAAAAGTACACCGTGTGTATTGACAGCAATGAAATTTAAGCTCCCACACAAAAAACAAAACTTCAGCAAAATTATGTATGCTACCAACAGTGTAGCAGCCTCGCGCTACTGACAGTTTTCTTACATCAGTGGTGATATTGATCAATTTAACTTTTGACATTACTGCATGAAGTAACATCTTCTGATTAACTCAAATCGTGGACGGGTAAAATTCGGCGAATGGGCTACCGATTCCGTGAGAGACCCTGTCTTGAAAAACAGGGTGGACAGTGATAGAGGAAGATCCCTGATATGAACCTCTGGCCTCCACACAGTCAGTAAGCATACACACATATAGATATACCTATACAGAGATGGGAGGGGACAAGCACATTTTCTCGAACAAACTGAATTGAAGAGGTGGCAGAGTTTCGTTCATCTATAATTCTCATTGATA